AAACCTCTGCAGGCAGATATAGCAAGTTGATGAATAACTATGTTAAAAATATTATAAAACAATTCATTGTTCATTTGATTAAAATATATACTGAAAAGCTATAATAATACTTGATTGCCCCTACAAGTAACCTGAATAATGCATTTAAGAGCACTTGAACACCCCCACACAATTCTGTATTAATGACTGAGCAAGCAGTAATTCACTCCAGCAAAAACTCAGTGATAACTTCAATCTGACTTTTACTTCACACTTACTACTTATTTCTAACACATTGTCTACAACTAAGAGTCCTCTCCCAGAGACAGTTCATTGGAGAGTCACTATCACCTGCTCATTCATCCACAGAAAGAGAAATTTAGCAATTAACAGAATCACAGAGAGTGGGAGAGATGATAACATACCCCACCATGAAATTAGGAGATAAGTAAAGGGGCCTGTCCACGCCAGCTACCAATAGCTGGATTGCACTTAAACCGGACTTTTGTCACTTCTTTGCTGGGCCATAGGGCCAATTATCTAAAACTCTTCAAAAACATACCAGAGCAAGGCCCTTCCACCAAACTCAGATAATTACTTTTGACAAATGTTCTGCTTGAGCATAATGGAGTTACTCAAATGCTTTTAAAAATGATCACACTAAAACAGTAAAACAATCTTAACAAAGTCAACCCAATAACACATCCTGGTGCATTCGCCCCCAACACACACACACAGTCACATACCCTCGGTGCCTGCAGTTGACTTTCTTTTGGCCAACTGATAACAGATGGTAAGTTGGTGAATAAATATTTAATTTATGCAACCCAAATCCTGAAAGTCTGAGTTTCAAGTGTAATGCCTTGCATTCCCGAAGCAAAGTGTACAGAAATATATTTTTTAAAAAACTACATTTCCAGCTGTCCTTTAAAAGAAGAAAATGAAAATAAAAGAAAAACCCACACATATGCATGCACCAAACCAAAGATGCTGAAGACCCTCTGCCAATCAGCATTTCTATAGAGACATTCTTTCGATGATTAAAACAAAAACTCCAGCCAGGCTCGGTGGCTCAGCCTGTAATCCCGCGCCTTTGCGAGGATGAGGTGAGTGGATTGCTGGGCAGGTGAGACCTCATCTCTACAATAAATCAAAAAATTAGCCGGGTGAGGTAGCGTGCGCCTGTAGTTCCAGCTACTTGGAAGCCTGAGGCGGAAGGATCGCCGGAGCCCAGCAGGTCGAGGCTGCGGTGGCCGGGAGCGGCCACTGCACTCCAGTCTGAGCGACACAGTGAGACTCCAACTGAAAAAAAAAAAAAAAAATAGTTTCTTAGGATTTTGTTGTCTTTTTGAGGTCATCTGTAAGAGCGTTTGTCTGCCTGTGATTTTGTCATTTCTCTCCCTGTGTGGTTTCATGCTGCATGAGCATGTGGGGGACATGGGGAGAACCCTCCCTTGGGACAAGTGCCCCAAATTTGTCTTGAATCCTCTTGGGCTGCCAGTGCTCAGGCGATGGGAAAGGACTTCTCAAGATCTAGGTCACCTGCTGTTAGGACAGAGCCCCGCCTTCAGCCTACTCAGTGGGTGACCTGAGACCTTCCATCACACTTTCTTGGGAAGAGCAATTCTGATCAAAGCTAAGCTGGCACAACTGAAGAAGAAATGGACAGACCAGATCATGGTTGGAGGTGAGCACTTCTCTCTGTAGCAGTGCTCTCTGCACTGCTCTCTACTTGGACCCAAGGTCGTGATAACTGAAGAGCAGGGCGGCCATGGAGCATTGCACCCAACAGCAGCTGCATACACCTTTGCAGCCCCTACTAGGACAGGCCTTGCCCCAGCCCTGAAACAAACCTCAGTGGACTTAAAGAATTGAGATTGCTCTCTGACCACAAGGAAGTCAAACTCTGGAAATCAGTCACAGCAAGATAGCTGAAAAATCTTCACGCTTGGAAGCAATACCACACACTTTTAAATGACCTGTGGGTTGGAAAGGACATTTCAAGGAAGACTATACATTGAACTGAATGAAAATACAACACAACTGAAGCAGTGAGGAGAGGGAAATGTGCAGCATTAAATGCTTGCTTTAGAAATATTGAAGTGCTTCATTAATACGTGGCTCTCAGCATAAGAAATTTGAAAAAGTAGAACAAAATAAGCCCAAAGTGAGCAGAAGGAAGTAGTCAAAAATCAATGCAGTTAAAAAAAAAAGAGAGAGAAAAATCGATGAAACAAAAAGCTGGTTCTTTGAAAAGATCAATAAAATTAACAAAACTGCTACTAAGACTGACAAAAAAGGGAAACTAACTCAAATTCTAATCTCAGGAATGATATAGGAGGCATCACTACAGACTACAAGCTTTGAAAGGATAACCAGGGGAGAAAACAGCCCCACATAAATTAGCTAAATAACATACATGAAACGGACACATTCCTCCAAACCAACTACACCAAAACTTACCCATTATGAAGTAGATCATTTGAATAGCTCCATAACTATAAAGAAAATGGATTCATGATTAAAACCTCCTCCCAAAAAGGAAGTCTCCAGACCCAGATAAGTTCATTGGAGAATTTTGCCAAATGTTTAGAGGGTATCAATTCCACACCATTTTTTGCAGGAACTAGAGTAAGAGAACACTTTCTAATGGTTTTGATAAAGCTAGTATTATTGCCCCAATACCAAAATCAGATAGAAACAGGACAAAAAGGAAAACTATAGGCCAGTCAGTATTCCCTCATGAATATAGATAGACACAGATCCTCAACAAAGTATTAGCAAATAGAATTCATCAGTATATAAAAAAAGTTATATACTATGATCAAGTAGGGTTTATTTCAGGAATTTAAGACTGGTTCTGGGTTACAAAATCAGTTAACAAAGTCTACCATATTAAACGGCGAAAGGAAAACAGGTGGTCACAGCGCTACAGAAAAAGCATTTGACAAAATTCAGTACTGTTTTATGATAACACTGTCAGCAAACCTGTCATAAGAAAATGGCATTAGCCTGATCATGAACAGTTGACATCATTCTTAGTTTGCCTCCTAAAGTCAGGAACAGGGCAGGTATGTCCTCTCTGCACTCCTATTCACGGGAAATCCCAGCTACTGCCATTAGGCAAGAACAGGAAGTAGACGTTATTAGTACTGCAAGGGAAAAAATACAATTGTTCCTATTTGCAGATGACATGATTCTTTATAAAGGAAATCTCAAGGTATCTTTTAGAACTTTGAGTTCAGTAAGGCCACAGGATGCAAAATCAATACATGAAAATTTATTTCTGTTTACTTGCAATTTTACTAGGAAACCAAATTTAAAACAATCCCCTTTACAATCACTTTTTTTAGAAAAAAGAAATGTGTAAGTATAAATCTGACACACCCTGTTCAGTGAGTGATAGACATGCTCTGCTCACAGTGGGAAGGTCTAGCCAAGTAAAGTGTCAGTTCTCCCTGTGTTGACCTATCGGTGTAATACATCTCCTCAAAATCCTAGATTTTTTTTTGTGGATATGGACAAGGTTTTTGTAAGATGTATCTGGAAAGAAAAATCGACTAGAAGGGCTGAAATGTTGTGGAATGGAAGAACAGCATGGAGGAGCTGCACTCTATGACTGTCATGCTGACGCTGTAGCCATAGGAGACACCTGTGTGGTGTTGCCAGAGGGACAGGCATGCATCTGTGGACCAGGGGAGATGACCCAGACTCAGACCCGACAAGCAAGAGCAGCCAAGTTAGAGGAATAAAACCATGCAACAGTGGTGCTGGAGCCTCTGGACGTCCCTCAACAAAGGCCTGACCCTCACACCTTCCGTGGCAACTCACTCAGGGCTGGTCTCAGATTGAGATGTGGACCTGGGATGGGCAGAGTACCTTGATGTGCCACCCAGACCACCAGCATAAGAAGAAAAGGTGGACCAATCAGACTTATTCAGAACTCTGGGAGACTGAGCTGCAGATTGGAAGATAAGGTTTTCAAACCACATATTTGACAAAAGACTTGCATGTTGAATATATAAATACAGTAAAAAACAAAACTAAAATAATCCAGTTATTAATAGGAACAGGCAAGAAACATAAGGCCTCATCCCAGCAAAGATGATGCTCAGTGCCTGGGAGGTACCTGCAGAGACTACAGCATCACTGGCTGTGAGGAAGCCACATGATGCTGAGATGAGGTGCCTCCATTAGGGTGACTGAAATGGGGAGGAGGCGTGGCGGCACTGAGCGCTGATGAGGACTTGGGGAAACCGGGTTTCTCACATGCTGCTGGCAGGAGCACAGAGTGGTACAGCCACCGTGGAGAGCAGTTGGCCAGTTTCTTGCAACTCCTCATGACCCTGGGCATTTATCCTGGGATGTGAACTCAAACTCTGGAGCACTCCTGTGTCCTTCCAGGTCTGAACAGTTGAGTAAACAGGTGGCCATTCCACTCCATGAGGTGCTCCTCGGCAGTGAAAAGGGGCGGACGTGGGGACACGTGGTGACCTGGATGGATGTTGTCCTGAGGGGAAAGAATGATTGCAGAGGTCACTATTGGCTCCGGCTCTAGATTCTGAAGGTGACAACCATAGAGGAGCAGGTGGTGTCGATTGCTCTTGTACTTGTGGGAGCTTGTACCCATGGTGAGGTTGTATAGACCTGCCCGTGTGTCCAAGCAGGCTCTGTGGGTAGTGGGGGCATAGCTGTCTGGTCTCAGTGGCTCACAGGGGTCAGAGAGACACCACCTCTGGGGGACTCTGAGTAAAAGTGCTCGGATCTCTCAGTACAGCAGTTTCCTGTGATTTTAATTATTGCAAAATAAAAAGGAAATAACCAGCCATCATTTGAAGGGCTTTGAGAAGCAATGCTGATGAGACAGAGGCTGTGGCTCTCCGGGCCACTCTCCCCAGACTTGAGGTGCTGCCCTCTCCCCTGTGGAGAGGCCCCTGGTCAGCCCTGGCCATGCTGGGAATGGGGGATGGCGCCTTCACAGCTGCCCTTTCCCGGTGTCTGACCTCATTCTCAAATGTTCTCAGCCCCCCCGGCGCCTGGCCAGTGCCAGCCACTGGAGACCCTTGCCTCTGGCTGACTCTAGTAATAAATGCTTTATTTTGCAAACATGTGATGTTTTAAGTTCTAGAAACAGCAGTCTCCCCCATGCGGAGCAGCCTCTGCGTGGACAGGCAGGTTGCCGAGTGTCTCGACCTGTCTCCGCAGGCTCACCAGCCGGATTCCCTCCTGGGGCCTTCATCCCCAAGACGGCCCCTGCCTCCAAGGACAGTGGGTCCTGGCAGCCAAGTCGGCCACCGACCCAGGGCACTTCACGACCCCCCCAGGCCAAGCTGCCCCCCAAAGCCTGTGCACAATCAAGGCCTAGCTATGCCTCTGGCTTCAGTGTGATTGGGGGGCGAGAGGAGAGAGGCATTCGTGCACCCAGCTTTGGTGAGTAACTGCCATTCTCTCCGCCTGTGGGGTCTTGCATGGTGCTCAAGTGGGGGAGAGGTAGAGTCCTAGTGCATTTTCTTCTACTCCAAGCCCCATCCAGGAAGGGCACAGTCCCACACGTGTGTCCACTAGTATCTTTCTGGGTCGCACCTCTGGGTCCCTCTTGTCCCAGCATCACCTTCCCAATCTGTTTTTAACAAGTGACCTTTGGGACCCTGTCTCTCCCTCTCTCTCCTGTTGAGGCATCAGGATGGTGTCCTGTCTCGCAGCGGGTGGGATAAGTGGGCAGAGGAAAGTCTGGGTCTGTGTGTCCTATAAGAAGTTTCTGCCTTTTCCAGCTCAAAAGCCGAAAGTCTCAGAGAACGACTTTGAAGATCTCCTGTCCAACCATGGCTTCTCCTCCAAGCCTGACAAGAAGGGGCCCAAGACCATCGCAGAGATGAGAAAGCAAGACCTGGCAAGAGACACGGACCCACTCAAGCTCAAGGTGCACAGGCGTGGTGGCTCCAGCTCGGGTCCTGTGGGGTTAGGGTCCAGAGGCCGCTATGGGGGCTCCCGGGTTCTGCTGTGCTCCTCATGGGTGGCATCTCCAGCCAGCATCTGGAGCTGTGGTGGACCCGGTAGGCCCTTGGGGACTGGACTGGCTTAAGCAGAGCCAGGCCTCTGCACAATCTGCCCCCATTGGCTCAGGCCATTGTGGGCAGGTAAGCTTCCTGCTGCCACCTCCCACCCGGCCGCCCCTGGCATGGGCACAGCTGCCATCTGGTCTCTGCCCTGGAGTGTCTGCAGAGAGTGGAGGCTCCCTTGGGAGCAGTTCTGTGGGTGTTTGGCATCCTGTTCTGGGATATTCACTGTGGGGTGACAACGACAGCTACTTTCAGACTCAGCATACTCACTGTGAGGTGACCAGTACATCTGCATCCAGACCCAGGGCACTCACTGTGGGGTGATGAGGTCCAGTGGTCAGGGTGCCCCTGCGTTGGGCTCAGGTTGCGCCCTGCTCCATGGTTTGTGATATTAGCCCTGCAGGGCCACAGTGGCAGGCATGGCCGGGATTGTCTCACAGGCCCAGGGACCTGCCTCTTTTCCCGAGTCTGAGCTTCGGGTGGGCAGGGCAGCCATGCTGGGGGTCCTTTGTGTCCTTTGTGAATGTCTGGCTGTGGCACCTCTGTCCTGAAGACAGCCTGGCCGGTGTTGCCAGTTGAGCTCCGTGCAGGTTTGGGTGATGGCTGGCCAATGTCTCCTGCCCTTGAGTGCCTGCCTTATCCCGGAAAGCCTCCTCGACCATGACCTCTGTGCCCCTGCCCACTGGGTGCTAGTGGCACATCTTCCCTCGTGGAGCCATAGGGTGGCTGGAGTTGGGTTTGCTGGCAAGGTTCAGGCTTCAGCGTGTGCTTCCTTGTGGGACACCACACTCCACCTGGAGCCCACATTCCCCACACAGCAGGGGAGGATACGGGCGGCACCTTCATGTGCATGGTATCCCTGCAGCTCCTGGACTGGATTGAGGGCAAGGAGAGGAACATCCGCGCCCTGCTGTCCACACTGCACACGGTGCTGTGGGATGGGGAGAGCCGCTGGACACCTGTGGGCATGGCTGACCTGGTGACCCCAGCTCAGGTGAAGAAGCACTACCGCCGCGCCGTGCTGGTTGTACACCCCGACAAGGTGAGTGGTGCTGGGCAGCCACGGGAGCCTGTGCCAGGTTCCGGCCTGTGGCAGGGCAGGTGGTGAGTGGGCCCTGCTTGCTCTCATACACCTATTGCCCGCAGGCCACGGGACAGCCGTACGAACACTATGCCAAGATGATCTTCATGGAGCTGAATGATGCCTGGTCCGAGTTCGAGAACCAGGGTTCCCGACCCCTCTTCTAGGCCCACGGCATCATGACCACGAGCAGCTCTGGAGCCCGGTGATGGCTGCCAGGTCCCAACCATGAGGCCTGTGGCTGCAGCAGGCATGGGTGTGGGTTGGGCTCAAGTGCCCGCCGCCCCACACCCACTGTCCTGTCATTCCACGGCACAGGAGAAAGCATTCCAAAGCTTCTGGTTTCTGTTGTTTTTCTTTCTTGTCCCAAAGGAACAGTGTTGGTTCAGGCCCCTGTGTCACAGCCTGTGATTTACTCTGGTGTCAGAGCCCACTCTTCTCTGAATGTGAAGGTGTGTTCCCTCGCACTTTGTAATCAGCTGCCGATCGTCTGTACATATTAAACTATTTTCTGATGATGCCGCCTCTCCCGCGTGGCCACCACGCCAGCGCCTTCTCAGTCTTCTTGCCCGTCACTGGATTGTTATTAGGTCTTCAGGGGACCAGCTTGACCACGGCCCCGAGCCAGAGGCTGAGTGGCTGGGGCAGGCTGCAGGGTGCTAGCAGTGACCTCATCAGAGCACTTTGCTGGCGGAAGGTTCTGGTGCTAGATGGAAAGGGAGACACGGATTGGGCATGAGTCTTCTCTGCCAAGGGCCTTGCCCACCTTCCTGCGGGTGGACTGGCTCCACAGAGGCCCCCACTGCTGCCAGGACCTGGAGGAGCCCCTGGGAAAACTGGGGTCTCTACCCTAACATGTGGCCGGACCTCCACAGGGGGCCATGTCCCTGCCCAGACGCTGGCTCTGCTGGTGGATCTGAGCCTCCATGAGCCTCTAGGTGACCTCAGACCAGGCAGCAGGTCATGGGTGGCAGGAAGGCCGGGAGGTGTGTACAGGCAAGAGCTAAGGCTCCACAGATGCACCCCTCAGTCACTGTGTGTGGCGGGTGGAGCAGCCGCTGGTGGGCTTGGCTGGCAGGGACAGAGCTCTGCCCTGTCCTGCCCCTTTCAGACCCTCCCTGCTTAGCCTCAACCTCACCCTGCTGGCTACCCAGAATCCCTGAAGGGTGGGGGTGCGGCCTTTGGATTTTATTATCCAGGTAATTCAACCAAAAACAAGTCCTCTGTAAAGGCAGCAGGGACGTGCCTGGCGGGAACCTCAGGCTCTCAGAACTCCATCCCTCACGCATACATCAGGTTGAAGACAGCAGGAGTGATGATGCGACTCAGTATGTTGGCAGAAGTGACGGGGAGCTTAATGACATTAGTGGCAGAGTCTGTTCCTGGGATCAAGAGCCATACCTGCACTGGCCTCCTGCCTCCACCCTGCTGGAGTGGCCAGGCCCTTGCCCAATGGACGTGGGGCCTCTCCCCCGACTTTATCCTCCGTAGGAGCTGTCAAGTCCTGGGACACCAAGGGGACTCCCGTGAGGAATGCGGAGGTCTGCCAGATAGGGATGTTTGTTGTCTGCCAAACAGGTGTGCACGGCACCGTGCAGAACCAGGTCCCTTTGTCCCTGCAGGTGTCCCGGAATAAAGTTTTTGCTCCAAAAACGTTGGGAGCCATGAGCCTGATAGGCTCCTGCTGCCAGAAGTCCCAGACAGCAGGGATGCTCCTGAACCTCAGGTGTGTGGCTCTGCAGTTACTTCTGTGGGGGATACACGAGTGGGCCACAGCCTGTTGGGAATGGTGGCCATTACAGGAAGTCGAAAATGGAGTGCCCAGTGGCAGCAGGCACTCTGGGGACGTGGTGCAAGCAGTGGCTGGTGGAGAGGCAGAACTGAGGGGGTAGCCAGCATGGATATGGTGCAGGGCGCGGATGTTCCTCTCCAAGGTTCAGGCTTCAGCGTGTGCATCATTCAGCTATTCAAGCCTATGGAGACGCGTGACTGGAAGGGTGGTCTTGCATCCTGGTGGCCTGGCGCACAGATGCCTGCTGGACCTGCGGCCCCCAGGACTACAGGGTCACCCCTCGGTGAGAGGAGAGACCAGCCTGGCTGCACACAGACGCAGACGCATGCATATGGATGGGCTACCCATATCCTGGAGTCACTGTGGTACCTTCAGTCACCCAACAGTCTGCTTCAGAGGAAGCCATGGCCACTGTCCACAAGACCAGAGCTGGGGAAGGCCAAGCCCTAGACAGCTGGGGGAGGAAGAACGCCCACCACTTGGCCTGCACCTGGCCTGCCACCCTTGGGTTTGGCACAGAAGTCAGTGGCGAGAGCATGGGGGGGACACAAGGGGTTAGTATGAGAGACCTACCCACCTTATGTCTCCCATAAGGGCTGGGGACATACAGGGCTTCCGGGCAGAAACCAAAGAGACCTCAATGAGTGCCAGGGTCCCACCAGGGACAAATTAAAGCCAGAGCCATGAGGATAGGGCAGTGTTCTTTCTGGGATTCTGGGATTTCTGCTGTCCTTTGCCCTGAGCCTCTCAAACTGTCCTTGAGTGGGCTAAACAGCCACCGTAAGAGTTTCCTGGAGGACTCCCAGGGCCCTGGGACTCCCCCCAGCCCCAGCCCCTCCCCAAGGCCCTGGGACCCTCCTTCCCTCTCAGCCCCTCCTTGTGGGCCTGGGACCCTCCTATCCTTTCAGCCCCTCATGGCACTGGGTCTGTGAGCAACGAGGGGCTTCCCACACTGTCTCTTTGCTGTCCCTGCTGTCTAAAGTGGTGTCAGGGCCATGGGCTGGTATAGGACGGAGGGCTGTTGGAAGGGGAAGTGAGGGTTTGAAACTTCCCCTTTCACTTTGACTCAGATGCTTCAGTGGATCCTGAGTCAAGGGCAGATTCTATCACCTGCTCTCCTCTTTCAGAGAATAGTGACTTCACGTTTGTTATGATGCATCTGCTTCTATTTTTAGCTCTTTTAAAAAATAATGAGCTTTAAAAAAGTATGAACAGTGGTTTTCACATCAAGTTGTGCTGCATCTGGCTCTCATTTGGGCCCTGTACCCTGGCACTGAGCCAGGTTGAGGCCTGTGGGTCTGTGGGGAGTGGGGTGGATCCAGGTGTCAGGAAAGGGACCCAGTGTGGGGAAAGGGGTAGGCTGAGTCCAGGCCCACAGCACAGCAGGGCAGAGGCAGGCTGGAGGCAGGGCATGCACTGACCACCCCCTCCATCCTGGGCTCTGCTCAGTTCTTAGCTGCAACCAACTCTCCAGGACACCTGCTGTGCGCCCTCCACCCGGCCCCTCAGGGACCATCCCCCACCCTGGTCCTTCACCCTTCACTCTGAAAGCTCAGCATCCCTCCTCCCTGCCAACCTCTGCTGCTCATGGTCCCTGTGCAGGCCCCTCCTTCCTGCTACACCTCACATTCCCATGGCCTGACCCGCGGGCCACCCTACCTGGGTGAGCCGAGTGCCCCCATGCGGATGCCTCAGCTCCCTCTGGTTCCTGCCTTGTGCTCTGTCTGGAGCACAAGCTTGGGTAGTAGCTGATGGATGGCACCAGGTCATCATCCAGCCCAGCCTTGAATACAGAGGAAGGAGCAAGGTGCTGAGAAGGCCAGGGTTGGAGCCTTGGTTGTGGGACAGGGAGACCATCCAGGCTGGCCAAGCCCAAAAGAGATTTTGTAGCTTCGACCTGGCCACACTGCCACCAGAATTCCACCTCTACTGCTGCTCAGTTCATCCTTTGGACATGCAGGCACACAGCACATAGAGAAGGCCACACACGTAATATTAAGATGTTAATTATGCCCAAGCCAATCTACCCCATCAATGCAATACCAGTCAAATTCCAACTTTTCTGTAGAAAGGGACCAGCTAATTCTAAAATGTGTATAGAAATGTGACAGCCCTACAAAAGCCTAAACAATTTTCAAAAAGGAAAAAGTTGAAGTTCTTACCTGATCTGCTTCCAAGACTTACTGTAAAGTCACAGTAGTGAAGATGTGGTTTTGGCCGAAGGATATATACATAGATCAGTGAATAAAACAGCCCAGAAATAAACCCATGTAGTCATGGTCAGGGAAAGAAAAGCGTTTTCAACAAATAGCATGGAATTGGATCCCCTAAAAAGAAAGCAGAAGACCAGACCTCACAGCACACAGTCGCTGGCCAGAGACTAAAATGTAAAGGTAAACTAAAAACTTCTAGAAGAATATACAGGAGAGAGTCTTGGCAAGTTTTTTGTTTGTTTTGAATTGAAGTCTCACTCTGTTGCCCAGGCTGGAGTGCAATGGCATGCTTACGGCCACCGCAACTTTGACCTGCTGGGCTCAGGTGATCCTTTCACCTTAGCCTTTCAAGTAACTGGAACTACAGGCGCATGCCACCACACCTGGCTAATTTTTTAAAAAAATTTTTTGGAGAGATGAGAACTCGCCAAGTTGCCCGGGCTGTCTTGAATCCCTGAACTCAGGCAGTCCTCTCACCTAGGCCTCCCAAAGTGCTGGAATTATAGGTGTGAGCCACCGCGCCCGACCTGGCAAGTTTGTGTAGCAAAAGTTTATTAGATAAGATCAAACATACAAGAAAGAAATCAATAAAATGTTCTTAATAATAATTAAGAACTGATCTTGAAAGGACACAGGAGCCGGGCTTGGTGGCTCAGCCTGTAATCCCAGCACTTTGGGAGGCCGAGGTGTGTGGATTGCCTGAGCCTGCATGTTCGAGACCCACCTGGGCAACTTGGTGAGACCTCATCTCTACAATAAATCAAAAATTAGCCGGGCGTGGTAGTGCACGCCTGTAGTTCCAGCTACTTGGAAGGCTGAGGCGGAAGGATCGTTGGAGCCCAGCAGGTCGAGGCTGCAGTGGCCGGGAGCGGCCAGACTGCACTCCAGTCTGGGTGACAGAGTGAGACTCCAACTCAAAAAAATAAATAAAAGAAAGGACACAGGAAACAGGAAAAGCCAGCAAGAGATTAAGAGGAAGTTCAGTTGCTCCAGCGTTCTTATGGACACCAGGCTTTGCAGACACTCCATCCTGACTACCATGTCCACGGGCCCGCAGCACACAAATACAGTGATTTTGTTCGTTTGTCTGAGACACAGTCTAACTGCCACACAGGCTGGAGTGCAGCGGTACTATCCTGACTGACTGCAGTCTCAGCCTCCTAGGGTCAAGCGATCCTCCCGCCTTGACCTCCTAAAGTATGGGATTGCAGGTGTGAGCCACTGTGCCTAGTCAAATACTGTGGCTTTGATCCATGTTTGGTTGAATCTCCAGATGTGGAACCGAGGATAGGGAGGGCCAGATGTACATGCAATACATGCACCTGGCAAAGGATATGTACCAAAGTGTGTTAAGATGTGCTTTAGCATGTTTCTGAGTGAGAGGACAGACAATCTGCTCTTTTAGAATAAGATATGTATTTCACAAGAGAAGTTATTGAGATACCAAGAGGCACCCAAAAGATGATTGACAGCATCGTTCTTTGGGTAAACACACATTTAAGCTACAGGGAGA